ATTAAGGCTCCTCCAGAACTCCCGACGAAGGATCTCTTATAACAGCTACTTTATTAAGGAGCCCTATGCAACGATTTCGAATGCGGGTTCCCCCATAGAGATTCCTCGCGAACTTCGAGAATATCGCCTGCAAAAGGATGAGATGTTTGTTGTGAACTTTCCTTGCTAAGGATTTCTGAGTGAAGGTTCCTCAGCCAGGATTCTTTAGTGATGGTTATTCAAACAAGGGTTCCTTAAGCATCTGAAGACTGTACAATGCCAAGCAGCGCCTAAAGATGCCAGGCAATGGTAAGAGCAGGACAACCCATTGCCTAGCACGGCCAGCCACGACCCACCAGTTAAAAGCAATGCCAAGCACGACCCACCAATGCTGATAATCTCAAACTAATGCCAAGCAGCGCCATGGGTCACCAAACAATCCCAAACAACGCCAAGCACGACCAACCAATGCCAAGCACGACCATCCAATGGCAAGAGCGGGGGTGCACATTGCCAAGCACCACCAACCATGACCGACCAATGCCAAGCGATGCTAAGCACGCCCATTCAATGCCATGCGCGATCAATCAACGCCAAGCATGATCAACCAATGCCACGCAATGCCAAGCGCGATCGTTCAATGCCGCAACACAACCAAGCAACGCCAAGCACAACGAACCAAGGCCAAGCAGGAACACTCGTTAGCAAACAGCTCCAAGCATGACCAATGAATGCCAAACACTGCTTCGCCTAGTAGCACTGGAGCATCGCATCAGCAGTGGAGCATCACCACAATATACAGGGCATCGTACCAGGGCTATTCCACAGGAGCCACCCGTCTGAAACAATCGTTGTCAGGGCCGCCGCCAGCGCGCCGCCGTGGACGAACAGAAACAAGAACGCAAGGGGCAGGCAAAGGGTCAGAGCCCCGAATCATCAGGGGTAACTCGGGTCAGGGCTAACTCGGGTTCGTTTTTCGGGAGTCCGAACCCGAGTTATCCCGGACCCGAGTTACCCCGGATATTTCGGGCGTCCAGAGCCCCGAATCATCAGGGGTAACTCGGGTCAGGGTTAACTCGGGTTCGTTTCTCGGGAACCCAAACCCGAGTTACCCCGGACCCGAGTTACCCCGGATAACTCGGGCGTCCAAAAGGGGGGAGGAGGACCAGGGGGCCTAAGGGGCACCAGGGGACCTCGGAAGCGGCGGCGGCGGGGCCGGCCCTCGAACCAGCAGCGGCGGCACCGGAGCGGCGGCCCCCCCTCGAGCGCTTCTCGGGGGGGGGGGGTGGGGAAATACGGGAATACCAGGTGGGTCTGGCCGATGTTTTACACACATGTTTTACTCCCCCCCTTCCCAGGCGGCGCCGCGGGCGTCTGGCCTCTCGCCCTTTCCTCCCTCTCCCGCTCCCTCCCTCTCCCCATCCCCCCTACCGCACCGCTCCCGCGCCTTGTTCTCTCTCTCTCTCTCACACTCTCTCTTTCTCTCTCTCTCTCTCTGGCTCTCTCTATCTATCTCTCTCTCTTTCTATTTCTCTCTCTCTCTCTCTCTATCTCTTTCTCTCTCTCTCTCTCTATCTCCGACCCTCCCTCCCTCCCTCCCTCTCTCTTTCCCGCTCCCTCTCGATCTACCAGGCTCTCCTTCTCACCCCCACCCGCGTTGCAACGCGCACCTCGGAAGTCAATCGTGCCGCACGTCGGCCCCCCAAAAACCGCCACCCCAGAATCCCCCGTTCTCCAGTCCGCACGGTGCACTTGCAACGGATTCGGCACACTCTTTTCACACGTTTCGTTGCCCCATTGGGAGTTCCACCGAAGACCCCAGCGGCACAGTCCGCATGGCGTACCCGCACCCGGTTCAGCAAACCCATTCTCACACGCTTCGTAGCCCCATATGGATCTCCACCGAAAGCGGAATCGGCACAGCCCGCATTGCGACCCCGCACCCGATGCTGCACGACCTTTCACACGCTCCGGCTCCCCATAAGGAGCTCCACCGAAGACACCAGCGGCACAGCCCGCATGTCGTACCCGGACCCGATTCGGAACACCCATCTCACACGCTTCGTGGCCCCATAGGGAGCCCCACACCGAAGGCCCGACTGGCACAGTCCGCATGGCGTACCCGCACTTGATTCGGCACACCCATCACACGTTTCGCGGCCCCATATGGAGCTCAACCGACGGCCGCAGCGGCACAATCCGAATGGCGCTCCCGCACCAGATTCGGCACACACTTCACACGCTTCGTAGCCCCAGAAGGAGCTCCAAAGAAGGTCCCAGCGGCATAGTCCGCATGGCGTACCCGCACCGGATTCGGCACATTTCTCTCACACGTTTCGCTGTCTTAGAGGGAGCTCAACCGAATGCCCCAGCGACAGAGTCCGCATGGCGTACCTGCACTCGTTTCGGCACACCCCTCTCACAAGCTTCGTGGCCGCATAGTAGGGAGCCTCACCGGAGGCCACAGCGGCACAGTCCGCATGGCGTACCCGTACCCGATTCGGCACACCCGTCTCACACGCTTCTTGGCCCCATAGGAAGCTCCACCGAAGACCCCAGCGGCACAGTCCGCATGGCGTACCCGCACCCGATTCGGCACACCCCTCACACGTTTGGTGGCCCTATAGGGAGCTCCACCGAGGGCCCCAGTGGCACAGTCCGCATGGCGTACACGCACCCGATTCGAAACACCCTTCACACGTCACGTGGCCTTCTAGGACGCCCCACCGAAGGGCCGTAGCAGCACAAGCATGGCGTACCCGCACCCGATTCGGCACACCCCTCACACGTCCCGCGGCCCCCATATTAGGGGCCTCCACCGAACGCCCCAGCGGCACAGCCCGCATGGCGCGTACGCGCACCCGTTTCGGCACACCCGTCTCACACGCTTCGTGTCGCCAGACGGGCCGGAACGCAACGCACAATGGAAATCTTTGGGGGGCCAACGAGCTGCGAAGGAGATGGGCACGACATCGGCTGCATTCTGGGCTCGGGCCAAAAGCAACATCCCCCCCCCGCGAGCCAGTCCCCGCTGCGCCTTTCCTACAGTCGGGGCCCTGAAGAAGGAGCCCTTTTCGTTGGGGAGGTGCTCCGTGTTCCTTGATTGTTTCGCAGCTTGCCTCAGGTTTTCCTTGTGCTCTCGATGGGAAATCGAAGTTTCACTTATGGAGAAAAGGGGCCTCGTTCCTTATTCAGGGTTCCTTAGGTCAACGCCCCGACTGTACTGTTCCCGCAGTCCTTGGGCTGGCCCCCCTTTCCCCTTCCACTTGCCTCGCGGCGCTCGCAAGTGCAGACGGTCTGGTCTCTCGCCAGCCACGAAGCGTGCGAGAGGGGTGTGCCGGATCGGGTGCGGGCACGCGCCATGCGGACTGCGCCGCTGGTGCCTTCGGTGGGCCTCCTTATCTGTCAGCTCTGACCAATGGCAGAAAGTTTAGAGGCACATTTTTATGTTTTAATTTTCTTTCTGAGATTCGTAGATCCGCGGTTGGAGAGGGCCCGCTTTGCCCCCCCCCCCCCCCCCAGATTTGGCGCGATCCCCACGTTACAGATAAGTTATCTGGGGCCAAGAAACGTGTGAGGGGTGTGCCGAGTCGGGTTCGGGTACGCCATGCAGGCTGTGCCGCTGGGGTCTTCGGTGGAGCTCACTGTGGGGCCGCGAAGCGTGTGAGAGGGGTGTGCCGAATCGAGTGCGGGTACGCCATACGGGCTGTGCCGCCAGGGCCTTCGGTTGAGCAGGGGGCCCAAGAACGTGTGAGGGGTGTGCCGAGTCGGGCGCCTGTACGCCATGCGGACGTTGCCGCTGGGGCCTTCGGTGGGGCTCCATAGTTTTTCGGCCACGAAATATGTGAGGGGTGTGTCGAATCGGGTGCGGGCACGCTATGCGGATTGTTCAGTTGGTGCCTTCGGTGCCGTTCCTTATGGGGTCACGGTGCGTGTGAAAAGCGTGCCGCGTCGGTGGGGGATTCGGTGAAGCTCTTCATTGGGCCACGAAGCGCGCGAGGGGTGTGCCGAATCGGGTGCGGCTGCGCACTGCGGACTGTGCCGCTGGGGCCTTCGGTGGGGCTCCATACATGGGGCCACGAAGCGTGTGAGGGCTGTGCCGAACTGGGTGCAGGTACGCCATGAGGACTGCCACTGGGGCCTTCAGCGGAGCTCCCTGTGGGGCCACCGAGCGTGTGAGACGGGTGTGCCGAATCGGGTGCGGGTACGCCATGCGGACTGGGCCGCTGAGCCTGCGGCGGAGCTCCCCATGCGGCCACGAGGCTTGTGAGGCGGGTGTGCCGACCGTGTGAGGGCGTGCGGGCTGTGCCGCTGCGGTCTTCGGTGGAGGGACCTATGGGGCTACGAAACGTGAGGGGTGTGTGCCGAATCGGGTGCGGGTACGCTATGCGGACTGTACCGCTCGGTGGAGCTCCCTATGGGTCCACGAAGTGTGTGTGTGTGTGTGTGCCGAATCCAGTGCGCGTACGCCATGCTGATTGTGCCACGGGAGCCTTCGGTGGAGCTCACTATGGGTCCACGAAGCGTGGAAGAGTTTTGCCGAATCGGGTGCTTTTACTCCATGCGGGCTGTGCCGCTGTGGCCTCCGGTGGTATGGGGCCACGAAGCGTGTGAGGGGTGTGCCGAAACAGAGACATGTGAAGGGCATAGGCAGGGATTGGATGAGGAAGAGGGAGGAGGGCGGGAGTGAGGTGTTGCGGGGCGTTTACTCCTCAACACGTGGACCCAGCACCACAGGACGGCTGGGACAAACACGCACGACACCGAAACATGCACGGTGAGTGGACGTCCGAGCGATGGCAAGGAGATAGGATGGGTGGGGGAGGATGAGGAGCAGGAAGGAGGACGTAAAGGAGCAGAGGCAGGTTCTGCGTGCACAACGTGCGCTCGAAGGTTGCCTTGGATCCGTTGCTTGTCTGCGAGAGCGGTGCTGTTATTTCGCCATCGGAGGACCAGGGTGCGAGTCCGCGTGTCTGCGTTTGCATATGCGTGCGCGCATGTCCGTTCATAACCCCTCTGGTTCAAGCCGTTCTGGCTCAAGGACACACTGCACTGACAGCTACCTCCTGTCTTTAGGATGCAACTCCTGGGAGGTTGCATTCAGCATCGGCGCTGGCATACATGTTCATGCCCGGGAACTTGCCAGATCTTGTCTGGTGCCGTTTAGTACCGTTCAATGTTGGGTTTGATTTTGGTTATTCTGGATTCGTGGTCTTGCTCTCTTGATCGGGCGTGATCTCTTTGAACCGTTTTGGCGCAGACCTCCCAGTAGTTGTCTCCCCTGAGATCCTACGTCATGAAGAACAAGTGACGAAGCAGGACACTCGCTCCAGACCTTATGTTTCTGCTGCATTTCCCAAGCCAGATCGATGTGTGATGGTCCGAGGTCCGAAAACGTGTGAAAGTGGTCGGCGTGAAAGAAGTGTCTTGGCGAAGGACCCAACCATCTGCAGTTGTTAGCACCGCATTTGTCAGAGTCGTTTTCGATGGAGCTCCTTGTGGTGTCACGGAGCGTTTGAGGTATGTGCCGAAGCGGGTGCCAGTGCGCCATGCGGATTGTGCCACTGGGGCCTTCGGTGGAGCTCCCTATGAGGCTACGACGCGTGTGAGGGGTGTGCTGGAGCGGGTGCGGGTACGTCATGCGGACTGTCCCGCCGGGGCCTTCGGTGGAGCTCTCCATGAGACCTCGATGCGTGTGAGTTGTGTGACAGACCGGGTGCCAGTACGCCATGCACGCAATGTGTGAGGGGTGTGCCGAATCGGGTGCGGGTACGCCGTGCGGACTGTGCCGCTGGGGCCTTCGGCGGAGATCTCTATGAGAACACGAAACGTTTGAGGGGTGCGCCGAACCGGGTGCGGGCTCGCCATGCGGACTGTGCCTTTCGGGCCTTCGGTGGAGCTCCCTCCTGGGGCCACGAAGCGTGTGAAGGGGTCTCCGAATCGGGTGCGGGTACGCCGTGCGGACTGTACCGCTGGGGCCTTCGGTGGAGCTCCCTTCTGGGGCCACGAAGCGCGTGAAGGGCGTTCCGAGTCGGGTGCGGGGACGCCATGCGGACTGTACCGCTGGGGCCTTCGGTGGAGCTCCCATATGGGGCCTCGACACGTGTGATGGGCGTTCCGCATGGGGTGCGGGTAGGCCGTGCGGACTGTGCCGCCGGGGCCTTCGGTGGAGCTCCCAGATGGGGCCTCGACACGTGTGAGACGGGTGTGCCGAGCCGGGTGCGGGTGCGCCATGCACGAAGCGTGCGGGTCTTTAGCGGAGCTTGCTATGGGGTATGCGGCTGTGCCCCCCGAATGCGGAGGGCAGAGGCGGGTGGGGGGGATTTTTTGGGATTGCGAGCGTGATTAACCGCTGGGGCTGACACGAGAGTGCGGCACTCAACTAGATGCAGACGCTGGCTGTGGCAACTGGGAACGATGCAACAGTGCGTACATGCAGCACGGGCGCCAAGGTTTGGTGAATCTCCCCGCCCCCGTCCTGTCCCCACATACCCCCAGATTGGACGGAACTGCACGGGGCTGGCACGACTAATGGCCAGTTCGTCGTAGCTCTCATTCTGCACCGGAAGGGAAGGATAAGGGGCAAGACCGAGGGGAGGTATGATAATATCCGAGAGAAGAGAATAAGATTGGGACGCAGATCCAAAACTTCCAGCTCGGTAGGAGGGCAGACCGAAGGGGAGAGTCGCGAGTAGGCTGCCTGACCACTCCGACCCGACTGAGCTCCTATACGGTGTTGCCGCACAAGGAACGTACAACAACAGTTCGTCTTCCCGGGAGGGGAAGGAAAAACATCTTCGCGCCCTGACGCCCGGAAACGTGAGTCGAGACGGCGGCGGAAAACCGCACGATTATCGCCATGCTAGTCCGAGGGAGGGCGCGGGAGGGCAGAACTGGCACGACGAAAAGCTCGGTGACGTCCAACTACCCTCCATCCACCGTCCTCCTACCATCCTCCCAGCCAGTCGTCCACATGTGCAACTATTGGCCAAGCATATCATCGTAAATCAATGCCAGTCCATCCAAGCTGGGCCAGGCGCGCATTGACAAGCATATCATCGTAACTGAATGCCTGAGGAGGGGGAGGAGCAGGCACATGCATTGGTCCTGCCCGGACCTACCAGCGCACGCACATGTTAAACATAGCATCTGCGGCAGCTCGGTCAAGGCATGCCGTCAGGTCACGCTTCGACCCGGCCGACTTCGCAAACGCGCCGCGAATCGAAGAAGATCTGCGTTGCACTCGGGCCCATTTCCACTGCAAGTCGAAAACTCGAAATGGTGGCCTGCTGGAGGGCAAAAGGATCAGAGGGTGAACGTGACGTTCATGAACGGCACCGCGAGCACCACGCTCCTGAGCCACGGCCGTGGCAGCAGCAGCGCCGGAGGCGGAGGCATTTCACGCCTCAAGCCTTGGCCCCACCGGCGGCAGCACACGGCGGCGCACTGCGTAGAGCACCATCACGATGACCATGAACGACACCAGGAGCTCCAGGTTCGGGAGCCTCGGCCGCGGCGGCGTCAGTGCTGGAAGCGGCAGCTGTAGACGGCGCTCGACGAGGTGTATCCGGCGGCGTAGCACCAGCACTCGATCGTACCGCAGGGCGTAGAGCGCTATCACGTCGGTCGCGAACCACACCGGGAGATCCACGTGTCGGAGGCGAGGCCGCGGCCGCGGCGGCAGCAGCTCCGGAAGCGCCGACCGCACCTCCAGCAGGTAGCCGCGGCTCTGAGCGAAGAGCACGATCGATCGATCGAGATGATCCTGAACCCCGGCTTCGGCAGCAGCGGCGCCAGAAACGGAGACCGCGAACCTCACCCGCTTTGGCGCCTCCGGGGGCGCAGCACTGCAGCAGGCAGACGTGTCGCAGGGCGTAGGTCACGACCACGAGGAGCGTGGACAACACCACCAGGAGCTCCAGATTCCGGAGCCTCGGCCCCGGCAGCAGCAGCGCCGAAAGCGGCCGCGCCAAACGCCCCGCGACGTGGCGCCTCCGGGGGCGCCGCACCAGCAGGGAGCTCCGGCGCAGGGCGTAGAGGACGATCACGAGGATCGTGGAGATCCACGATCCGGAGCCGCGGCTACGGCCGCGGCAGCAGCACCGCCAGAAGCGGCAACCGCACGCGCCACCTTCCCGGGCGCCTCCGGGGGCGCAGCACCAGCAGGCAACCATGGCGCAGGGCGTAGAGCGTTGCCACGAGGAGCGTGAATAACTCCAGGAGCTCCAGTGTCCAGAGCCTCGTCCGCCAGAGGTGCAGCCGGCGAAGGTGTAGCCGGCGGCGGTGGCACGCTTCTCTCCGCAAATGTCGGAGGAGCACGCGCAGGCGGAGGGCCTCCGGGTTTCGGAGCAGCAACATTAGCCAGCCCATCAGCACCTTCAAGACCCGTAGCACGAACATGAGGTACGCAAGGATGAGCGGGTTGGGGAAGAATGCGTCGACGGGTATGGCCACCGCAAGCGAACGCCCGCGCGGCCACGTCGCCCATCCGGACACGGCGGCCGACTCGGGCCGCGTAGCCGAGCCTCCGCACGGAGGCGCGAAGGGGCGGCCTCGGCAGACTGCCGCGACGGCGCCGGCCGGCCACGTCTCGTCGCGCGCGGTCGTCCTCGGATCCGGGCCAGGACGGGTCGACGCGCATGGCAGCTGTCCCGGGAGGTGGTGGGGGCCAGAAACAGCACCTTTGATGTTGGCAAAGGCCCTTGACCCTGGACGGCTTTAGCCAAAATGGCTTGAGCCAAAATGGCTTGAGCCAAAATGGCTTGAGCCAAAATGGCTACGGAAGGGGGGGGGGCGGAGGGCGGAGGGCGGAGGGGGCAGAGAGGGAGTGAAAGGCAGGAGTCACGCGGCGTCGCCTCCTGACAAAGCGAGGACCCAACACCACGGGGTGGCCGGGAGAGGCAGCGCCCAGATCTCAGGGTCTTCACTCGACCAAAACGACAAACGACACCACCCCACCCGCGGCATTCCATGCTGCGCCACGGCCCATCGGGGGCCGTGGAGTGTGCCACGCAGCAGCCCACGCCAGCTTTCCTGGTATACGCGGATCCCGTGGGGCCGTAGTTGGGGTGGTGGCGCCTGTCTTCTGGTCCGCTCACAGTCTCGCCAGCGCGGGAACATCCGCCGATGGGGGTCGGAGGGGGCAGCGCCGACCTCAGGCCGGGAGCGGCCCGGCCCGCGCCCTGGCGCGGGGTCAATCTGGGCGGCTGGCTCCTGCTGGAGCCCGGCACGGCCAAGGCGCTCTTCACCAGGCACCCGGCGGCCTCGGGCCAGGAATCGGACGTGATGGGCCTGTTTTCCACCACCACCACCACCAGAAGTTGGAGGTGGAGGGGGTCCTCCTCCTCCTCCTCCTCCTCCTCCTCCTCCTCCTTTTCCTCCTCCTCCTCCTCCTCCTCCTCCTCCTCCTCCCTCCTCCGTGATGGGCCTGTTTTCCACCACCACCACCACCAGAAGTTGGAGGTGGAGGGGGTCCTCCTCCTCCTCCTCCTCCTCCTCCTCCTCCTCCTTTCCTCCTCCTCCTCCTCCTCCTCCTCCTCCTCCTCCTTCTCCTTCTCCTCCTCCTCCTCCTCCTCCTCCTCCTCCTCCTCCTCCTCCTCCTCCTCCTCCTCCTCCTCTGCCTGCACCTCCTTCCCCCCTCCAACTCATGGTGGTGGTGGTGGTGGTGGAAAACAGGCCCATCAGAACGAGGAAGAATTGCCAGATCGCGAACTTTCGGAGCTCCGCCCGAGGCGCGCCTCGCGCGTCAGAGAGGGAGGTCCAGCGCCGAGCCTAAGTCGGGCCTGTCCTCCTTCTACAGGTGGCTTATCCAAAATTAGAAAAACAAAGTCTGCGGAAGATGTTTGGACCATTGTTGACTACTGTTGAACATTTTTCTGCTACTTCTTAATTTCCTGAACGCTCCGCCTGTAGGAGGAGGATCTGCCCGACCTAAGCCGAGCCAAGAAGATCACGCGGACCTCCGAAAGGTTTTGTTTATGTACTTGCTGCTTCTCCTGAGGAAGCCCGGAGCGAGTGGGAGCTGATGGAGATCCTGCGGCAGAAGGGCGCCCTGCACGAACTGGAGGAACACAGGGAGACCTGCATCACAAAGGCCGACTTCGAGCGCATAAGGTCGGCATCGCCCAAAATCATCGGTCCTAAACATACCCTTACCCGGGATCGGCCTGGGTGAACAGGGCCGTCCGCTGGATTGGGCGCTTGCCACTGCGCACGATCAGCCTGCCGCGTGCGCGCTGGTTGAGCATCCGCCAGGATGCAACGACACGCTGAATGGCTGGTTGTTTGATTGCATCGACATGCCCTGTTTTGCGTCAGGGACGGTCTGGGGGCATCGGGGGTCTGCGCGGGGTTTGGAACAGCATTGCAGTGCTGGTGCCCGTCCCACTTTGGGACAGGCACCACCACTCCGTTGCGTTTGGGCCTTCCCGCAAGAGTTTCGTTGCAATATCACGCTTCCCGGGGGGCCGTTGCGGCCGCGTTCGGGAGAGCTCTCGGGGGCCGCGCGTGCGCCCGAGAGCGATCTCGACCAAACGCCACTTCGAGTAGGCACGGGTATGTTTCTGGGGGCACCACCAATGCGCGTCGGCGACGGCACCCCCCGACACGTACCCGGATCTAGCTGGGGTGACGCCAGGCGGGTTTTCTGGGGAGCAGCCGTGGCAACGCGAAAGGCCGCTTTTGCAAAGCGGTTTTTCGCGCGCGCGCGAACTGGCCCCGCGGGGCCGACGCAGGCGCGCCAGGACATCTCAGACATCTCATAGCACAGGCTTGCAGGCGGGCGCCTTCTGGCGATGCCACCTGTGTGACGCTCTGCTGCAAACTGTTTGTGCCATACGTTCGGTTTGGACGTGTGCCTCCAAGGGGGGCGTGTAGTCTTAAGTCGGACATGTCCCTCTACAGGAGGAATATTCCCACATAGTACCAAAACGGGAATGGAGACGACGTTTTGATTATTTCTGCGGATTCTTGAATATTTCCCAAACCCCCTTGGTTGGGCATTCGTTTTAAATAGAGCACTGCGGTCGCGGCTTGTCTTTCTCCTCCTCCCGCCTCCCGCCTTGTGCGCACCTCTTGTGTGTGCATCTTGCCTGCGGTACCTCTTGTGTGTGCATCTTGCCTGGGGGCTGCGATTTGCAAAACTTTCGTCACTTCCGAGGGTTGCTGGGGGGGACAGCTAGTGGGTAGCCGCCGCGGACCCAAATTAGACCTCGCCATCTCTGGGAGGGCTACGATTTGCGGAACCGTCGCCACCTTCGAGGGTTGCTGGGGGGGGACAGCATGGTGGGTAGCCGCCGCGGACCCAAATTGGATCTCGCCATCCCTGGGGGGCAGCGATTCGCGAAATGGTCGCCGCTTTCGAGGGCTGCTTGGGGGGACAGCATAGCGGGTAGCCGCCGCGGACCCAAATTAGACCTCGCCATCTTTGGGAGGGCTACGATTTGCGGAACCGTCGCCACCTTCGAGGGTTGTTGCGGGGGACAGCATGGTGGGTAGCCGCCGCGGACCCAAACTAGATCTCGCCATCCCTGGGGGGCAGCGATTCGCGAAATTGTCGCCGCTTTCGAGGGCTGCTGGGGGGGACAGCATAGCGGGTAGCCGCCGCGGACCCAAATTAAACCTTGCCATCTTTGGGGGGACAGCATCGTGGGTAGCCGCCGTGGACCCAATTCAAACGTCGCCATCCCGGGGGGGCTGCGATTTGTGAAAGTGTCGCCTCTTTCGAGGGCTGCTTGGGGGGACAGCATAGTGGGTAGCCACCGCGGACCCAGCATAGATCTCGCCATCCCGGGGTGGCTGCGATTTGCGAGACGGTCGCCAATTTCGAGGGCTGCTTGGTGGGACAGCATAGTGGGTAGCCGCCGCAGACCCAAACTAGACCTCGCCATCCCTGGGGGGGTGCGATTTGCGAACCTGCCGCCAATTTCGAGGGCTGCTTTGGGGGCCAGCATTTGGCATAGTGGTTAGCCGCAGCCCAAATTAGACCTCGCCATCCCTGGGGTCTGCGATTTTCGAAACTGTCGCCTCTATCGAGGGCTGCTGGGGGGACAGCATAGTGGGTAGCCGCCGCGGACCCAAATTGGACCTTGCCGTCCCTGGGTTGCTGCGATTTGCGAAACTGTCGCCAATTTCGGGGGCCGCTGGGGGGGGGGGGGGGGGGGCAACATTTTGTGGGCAGCCGCCGCGGGTCCAAATTAGACCTCGCAGTCCCAGGGGGGCTGCGATTTGCGAAAGTGTCGCCTCTTTCGAGGGCTGCTGGGGGGGACAGCATAGGGTAGCCGCCGCGGACCCAACTTAGACCTCGCCATCCCTGGGGGGCAGCGGTTAGCGAATTTGTCGCCGCTTTCGCTGGGGGGGGGGGCAGCATAGCGGGTAGCCGCCGCGGACCCAAATTAGACCTCGCCATCTCTGGGGGGCTGCGATTTGCGGAACCGTCGCCACTTTCGTGGGCTGCTGGGGGGACATAGTGGGTAGCCGCCGCAGACCCAATCTAGACTTCGCCATCCCTGGGGGGCCGCGATTTGCGAAACGGTCGCCAATTTCGAGGGCTGCTTGGGGGGACAGCATGGTGGGTGGTAGCAGCCGCAAACCCAAATTAGACCTCGCCATCCCTGGGGGGCTGCGATTTGCAAAACTGCCGCAACTTTCGGAGGCTGCTTGGGGGGCCAGCACATTGGGTAGCCGCCGCGGGCCCAAAGTAGACATTGCCTTCCCTGGGGTGCTGCGATTTGCGAAACTGTCGCAACTTTTGAAGGCTGCTTGGGGGGGCAGCATAGTGGGTAGCCGCCGCGGGCCAAAATTAGACCTCGCCATCCCTGGGGGGCTCCGATTTGCGAAACCGTCGCTAATTTCGAAGCCTGCTTGGGGGGCCAGCATTTTGTGGGCAACCGCCGCGGACCCAAATTGCACCTCGCCATCCCTGGGGGGGGGGCTGCGATCTGCGAAGCCGTCGCCACTTTCGAGGGCTGCTGGGGGGCCAGCATAGTGGGCAGCCACCGCAGATCTAAAGTAGACCTCGCCATCCCCCGGGGGGGGGGCTGCGATCTGCGAAACCGTCGCCACTTTCGAGGGCTGCTGGGGGGCCAGCATAGTGGGCAGCCACCGCGGATCCAAAGTAGACCTTGCCATCCCTTGGGGGGGGGGCTGCGATTTGCGAAAGTGTCGCCACTTTCGAGGGCTGCTTGGTGGGGCAGCTATAGTGGGTAGCCGCCGCAGATCCAAATTCGACCTCGCCATCCCTGGGGGGCTGCGATTTGCGAGACGGTCGCCACTTTCGAGGGCTGCTTGGGTGCCAGCATAGCGAGCTGCGAAACTGTCACCACTTTCAAGATCTCCTGGTGGGCCGAGCGGAGTGAGGCACCGCGCAGATCTGAGAGGGACCTCGCCGTCCCTGGGGGGCTGCGATCTGCGAAACCGTCGCCACTTTCAAGGGCTGCTGGCGGGTCCAGCGGAATGAGGCACTGCGCAGATCCGAGCGGAACCTCGCCGTCCCTGGGGGGCTGCGATCTGCGAAACCGTCGCTACTTTCGAGGGCTGGTGGCTGGTCCAGCGGAGTGAGGTACCACGCAGATCTGAGCAGGACCTCGCAATTCCTGGGGGTTGCGAGCCTCACGAATGCCGCTCGCAGAAGTATATGCGCCCATGTCACGTCATCACCTCCGTAGAACGTCTCCCAAGCTACTCATCTACTCATGCCCCGCATTGCGCAGGGGTTGGGCACATCGCCAGGGTAATATTTCGTCCACAATCCGCCTGTAGGGGGACACGCCCGACCTGAGTATAGTCCAGGTGTGTCTTGCGTGCCCCAAAGGGGGTTCGGCCTCAACGCGGTCCGCCTCCCGCTGGGCTACTGGACCGTGCTCGGCCCCTCCCCTGGCGAGCCGTACCTGGGCCCGGCGCTCGCTTTCGTCGACTGGGCGGTGCAGTGGGCGGAGGTCGGCTGCACGCAGAATAGTGACATTTGATGGGCCTGTTTGCCACCACCACCGCCATAAGTTGGAGGGGAGGGGGTCCTCCTCCTCCTCCTCCTCCTGCTCCTCCTCCTCCTCCTCCTCCTCCTCCTCCTCCTCCGTAGCCATTTTGGCTCAAGGCTGATGCTTTGGCGGGCTGAGCCCGCATTGGCATTCACGGATACCGCTATTCCGCGGCAGTGCCAGGACGCTTGCGTCCGACAGAGTTTCTTGCCTACACCGAGGAGTTGGGCTCCCTCACTGAGTGTGTTGCTGCATTCATGGGAGGCAAGAAGTATGGCCGCGCCTGGAGTCGTTGCGAGGGCTGCCAGAACTGGATCTGGAACACCAAGCTCATCGCTCAGGACTGCGTCTGCCAGTGTGGACACACAGTCCAGCTGTGGGCGCCTTGGAACTCCGTGGCCAGGCACAAGAACGAGACCTCCAACACCTATGATAAGAAGCTGCGCGACCTCCTCAAGGCTGATCTTCCCCCTGCCGTGGCAACCGCGATCCAGACGGAGCTGCAGCAGGCGAAGAAGCCGCCGCCCACGGACGCTTGGGAGGCGGCGCGGAAGGCCAAGCAGGAGCTACGCAAGACCGAGCAGGCCACTCAGAAGGCGGCGATGGGAGTGCTTCGGGCCCGCGCCGACCTCGAGACGGCCTCAGAAGTGCACGCATCCAAGGTGGAGCAGCAGGCGATGGCGGAGCTCGCCTACCAGAAGGCGCTCTCCACGCTACAGACGGAGCAGGCACGCGATGCACCTCAGCGGAACAAGCTCATCATCGACTGCGACATTTTCGAGATCGCAGACCCTGCGGACATGGACGAGAACGAGCGCAAGACTTTCATGGAGTACAAGAAGGAGTTCGACACCGCCAGGCCACAGCTCGAGTCGGCGGTGCAGAAGCTCCAGAACCTCATGGAGCCCATCAAGCGCTTCGACCAGGAGCGCGTCGCCAAGAGGAGGCGCCAGGAGGGAGGCGATGAGGAGCCATCGGTCGAGGCAGGCCGTGGCGGCGGCGCTGGCGCCCCACCTGCCATGCCTGCGACCCCAGGGGCTGCTACCGCCCCAGCGCTCGTGCCCCCTCAGCCCCCGCTGGACGGCGAGCGGCTCAAGTCGCTCTCCGAAGACTCGCTGCGCCAGGCTGCCGAGACCTCCAAGACCAAGGCTGCCGGCTTGGCTGCTGGCGCTGGCGCTCCTGCTCAGCCAGAGCGGGGGTAGTGAGGCCAGCCCCGTCGCCGCTCAGCCGACTGTGGAAGAGGCCCAGCTGTTCTTCTCGAACATCACTGAATGGGGCCCTCAGGCTGAGCGGTGGGTGGCGTCCACTGGCAAGCGCTATCAGCTACTGGCCTTGGTCGAGACACATATCTCGCAGGCCAAACAGCAGCATGAGTTTCTTAAGATCGACAAGGATGATTGGAGATCCTCCAAATGCTATGCAATGCCGGCGGGTCGACCTGCAGAGGGCACGACGGGCGGAGAGATGGTTCTGGCTCGCAAGTCGGTGGCTGCTTCCACCTTCGACGCTATGAGACACCAGAGCCGCCAGTTGTATGCAGTTGATCCGTGTCATGGTTTCGCCCCGATGACGTGGCATCGCAAGACAGGCAATTTGGTCGTGATAGCCTTTTATATCGAACCGCACCACTCGATTACGGGCCCAGTTCATGAGCGGATGGTTGCACTCACCGCTTTCTTGGACATGCTGGCGGACCCTTGGTTTGTCTTAGCAGATTGGAATATGTCGCCGTGTCAACTGGCTGACAGCGGCTACCCTGAGGAGTGGGGTGGCTCCATTCTGATGGCCCCTGGTTCTGCAACGTGTGATAAAGGCTCGGGCTCGACCATTGACTACGCGGTGGTGAAGCGCGGCTGGGAGATGTCTGCGGTCATTCGCCAGATGCACGATGTACCGTGGGGAACGCACTGCGGCCTGGAGGTCTGCGCGGGCGAGTCTCAGGCCTGGCGATTTCGTGCTCTGGCACTCCCTGCTGATTTGCCTTGCCCCCCCAGGCCGCAGATACAGGCGGACCCCAACAGTAAGACATCATTGAGGAAGAAGGCAGCGCTAGACAAGAGGCGCAACCAGTTGCCGGACACGCTGCAGGAGGTGTTCGATGAGCTCACCCAGTCACAGGAGGATGCAGCAGCGCCTCCAGTCTTGGTTGCAGCGGATGTTGACTATGTGGACGGAGTCGATTTTGCCATTCCTCTGGATCTCTGGAGGCGGCATCAGGACGACATGAGGAGCACGCTGAGCACTCCCGACGAGAATGGCACGCTGGGCACCTACGACACGCAGGGGCCCCCAGAGAAGGCAGGCTCGCAGCACCCGCCAGGGAAGACTCGCCTACTGGAGGGGGGCCAATTTGTCTATTGTGAGACGGTCGAGGAGATAGATGGCATGCCATTAAGGGGGGCGGGGGCCCCAAGAGCCCATGCGGGTGGCCACGGGCCTCAAATCGTGGGAGCGCGCTCGCCCCCCTCGGAGCTGCTCGACAACGTCGGGACTGGCGCGGATGGAGTTGTTACAGATACCGCCATACACGCGACGGGCCCCTCGAGAGACAAGTGGAGCACTCTCGACGTGAATGACGCGCTGAACACCTACGACACGGCTGGGCCCCCAGAGAAGGCAGGCCCGCAGCACCCGCCAGGGAGGACTCGCCTGCTGGAGGGGGCCCCATTGGTCTTTCGCGGGATGGTTCAGGAGTTGGATGTTATGTTATCAAGGGGGGCGGGGACCCCAAGAGCCCATACGGGTGGCCATGGGCCTCAAATCGTGGGAGCGTGCTCGCCCCCCTTAGAGATGTACGACAAGGTCGGGGCCTGTACTGATGGAGCTGCGGTCAGGGTGAATGCGACCCAACCGAGGCCTTCTGAGCTATCTTGGGGTCTACCTCCTCACTTTCTGCATGAGAGAGACCCTGAGGCGACCACGCTTGTGTCGACCCACTATGCCAAGTGGATGTCGACCTTCGAGGCAACGGTGTTGAATCATCATGCGGTTCCTGTAGCGAAGCAAGCCGCCTACTCTGGTAGAGCAAATGGGGTTCACTTCCAATGGAAGAAGACTGCGGCTTGCCCTGGACGTACTCATATAAAGCACGAGCCTGCAGACTGGTGGGCTATTACCTTGACATTGGTTAAGAAGATTATCGCGCTGTGCAAGCATCAGAAGCATGAGAACTTCGTAAGGTCCAACCTCACCCTATTGCAGCTGAGGGTCACGGACTTCCACGGGAAGAGAGACTTACTGCTGCCGAAGGTCGAGGAGGATGAGGTATTCAGATGGTCTGAGCTGGTACGCACCATCACGATCCTGGATGACGAGGAACGATCTGAACTCATATGCCGCACTGAGACTTGGTCAGGCCGCGCTGCCGCTCATGCCGCGTACCAGTCCAAGAAGAAGTACTCGGGTTGGCTCGCCGACATGTGGAAGGCGAAGCCTGGAGTCCTGCATCGACAAGTCAAGCCGCAGGAGCAACAGCGGCTCGAGATCTACATCAGTGGCACGACGGTTTCCAACCCGACCCTGATCATGGATGCGAAGCGGCAGGAGTGGGAGAAGGTTTGGACACCTCGCGAGACCAAGCAGCAGATTCTGGATGCTCTGGATAAGGCTCGTCGTCAGACTAGGGAGGAGCCCCCTGATGCCATCCAACTGGAGCAGCTGAAGCGCACCCTGTCTATCATGCCAGGCTCCAAGGCGAAGGGTGTGGACATGATTGGGCCACGGGATATGCTGCGCCTACCTGAGGTGGCCCTCCAGCAGTACACTGACATGCTCAACGTCATCGAGACTCAAGGTGTTTGGCCGCCTCAGGTCATGGCCACTCTGGCGGCCATGGCGCCGAAGAAAGCAGGAGGTGATAGAGTACTAGGTGTCCTCCCTCACATCGCCCGCACCTGGAGTCGTATCAGAGGAGCCGCTTCAGATATGTGGAGCGATGGATTGCATGACTTCTGGTGTACTGCGATGAAAGGCTCATCGGCCCTCTCTGCAGCACTGCATCGAGCTTTTCTAGACGAGCCGGCTGTCACCATGGGCCTGACAGTTGGCACCCTACTAATGGACCTGGCGAAGTTCTATGACCATGTTAAGTTGGCGAGGCTCATCGAGGTTGGATTGGGTGAGGAGTTTCCTGCCATATGCCTCCTGTTGGAGGTTCAGCTTTTTCTTAGCCCCAGGATTCTGCGAGCACAGGGCTGGATTGCTGAGCCCATCTACGCTCTCCAAGGAATTGTTGCAGGCTCCCCTCGATGTGTCATACTGGCGAGGCTGTTTTTGCCCCCCATCCTCACGCACGCCCAGAGACGGGCGGAGGGAGCTACGATGTGGACCTTTGTGGATGACACGGTGGCAAGATCGGAAGGCACGGCAGCGTCAGTGTTACAGCGATTGGCCAGGGCGGGAGCCGAATTGAAGGCTGCCCTGGATCATGCTGAGCTCCCTGTCTCCGACAAGACCGTCGGCTTCTCTAACAACAAGCAAGTGCGCGTTAAGCTGGAGCGCAACCTTCGACGCCGCGGAGTGCCTGTCTCGGCTACGACGACGGCCACCGACTTGGGCATCGACATGGCAGCTGGCACGCGTAGAGTTCAGAAGAAAGCTGGTGAACGGGCTCGAGCGGCTACTGCCAGGACCAAGCGCATAGTGAAGATGCGCAACACAGCCCAGCAGGCACGTATAGCCAAGGGCCTCTGGGCCACAGGCGCCTTGCCTCAGGGAGTCTATGGCCATCAAGTCCGAGGGTTGGCTCGGCATGCGCTGTTGAGATGGAGGAGGCAGGCAGCAGCAGCCGCCGCGGGTCAAGCTGCGAGGCGCGCTTAACCACGCTACTGGGCTCCACGTTCGACGGAGCGGATCCTGGAGTCCAGCTTCGGGCGCAGTCTTTGCGACAGTGGATCAGATTCTGGCAAGGCCAGCCTCACCTCCATCAGCGCATTCGACGGACGTGGGCCCTGCTGAAGACGAGGTTGACCATTGCAGGCCCGAAGATCTGGTCGTATGTCACGGGCCCGACTGGGGCCGCTATTGCTACACTCTTGGAAGCTGGCTGGGATCCCAACGCGGCTGACTGCTGGCAACGGGTTCACGACGAATATTTGGAGCAATGGACACTCCCAGATGACGGAGCAGAGTTGGTTTACCTCGACTACGAGTCCGTCCTAGACGATCTCGCGGAGGACCTCCAGAGCAGGCTCTGGGCGACGGCGGCGGCGCACGAGCACGGCGCCTCCCTCGCCTGCGGGGCCGACCTGACCATGATCAGGATTGAGCAGCGGAGGTTCCTCGCTTCGGGAAAAATATCGTCTTGGGCATTGAACAATTGCGTGGTCTCTGGGGGCCAGTGGACCCGTGAGCGCCTCCATCAGTCAGGGTATCAAGTCAATCGTTTGTGTGATCGTTGCAGCTCTGGAGCCATCGAGGATCTTCCGCATCGCATTTGGAAGTGCTCGGCGAATGAGGGCCCCGAGGTCACAGCTAGTGATCATTTGGTCCCCCAGGCCCTGGCGGGCTTGGAGCAGGACCCCGCCCTTTGGCTTAGAGGTGTGCCCAGTCTCTCCTCCACTACTCCCTCATTTGCCTCGTGGGACGGGGGTGGGGTGGAGGTGGTGGGTCCTGATTATGAAGGTAAGCCCCGCTGGGAAGCCTGCAGAGACCCCCATGGGCGCCTCACGCTCTTCGGGGACGGCTCTGGAGGAGCCTTTTCAGATGATCCTCGGAGGCGCCGATGTGGATGGTCGGTAGCGGCTCTCGTCCCAGACGGGGCTGGTCGTTGGCGAGGCCACACTGGCATCTTCGGCCCGCTTGAAGGCCGACGGCAAACTGTTCCGCGAGCTGAATTATTGGCGTTTTGTGTGGCGGTTGAAGAGAGCTCGGGGCCTCTGACGTTTGTGACCGACCACAAACCCCTCCTCAATGGGTGGGGCCAGGGTTGGACTCGGAGGCCCCTCGGAGCTTGGTCTCGGCGTCTCAAGAACTGGGATCTTTGGGCCAGGCTGCGCAGGGCTATGGAGCAACAACCTGGACGCGATGTGGCCTTGGCGTGGACCCCGTCCCATCAGGATGAGACGCCAGAGGCTATCACCAACCCTTTTTATGCATGTGGCAATATTGTCGCAGATGCATGGGCAGGCCAAGGAGCCGCCAAGAATTGGACGGCAGCGCGAGAGCCTCTCCCCTGCACTGATCAGTGGGATGCAACGGCGGCCTTGGTGCGTGCCCGAGCTAGGGCCATCATCAAGAGCATTGGCCCTGAGAAGGTCCTGCGTGGGGTGAGAGTTGGCGTCACTCGTCAGGCCCCGCTGTCCACTCGTGCCCTCTGCCTGAGAGCCTCCACTCACACGTTCGAGCGTCGTGCTGCTAAGTGGCGCTGTGCCAAGTGCGAGCTTCTCGTTGATGACTGCCGTCTCGACGAGTCGGCACTCACGCAGTGTCCTGGGCCGCCCCCCACTCAGGGGTCGCTGCCCGTGGAGGCCCCACGTCGGTGCGGGGAGGCGGTGGCGGTGGAGGCTCGGGGGAGGACTCTCAGAGGCCAAGAGGCCCACCCGTCACATCAGCTTCTCGAGATCCCGCGTTGGCGGGTCTTGTTCTGCTCGCATTGCGGGGCCAATGCTACGTTTCGCTTTGTCAATCTGCTGCAGGAGTGTGGCGAGCCGAGTCCCAAGGGGAAGGAGGTCCTTGCTCGGATCGCCAAGGGCCGGCATCCTTCCCACAAGGGCCCCTCTGGGGCCATCGCTGAGGCGGCGCACAGAGACGCCGCCCAAGAGGCTCGAGCTCGTGCACTTGTAAGGGGCAGTGGTTTGTCCCAGGCCCCTGGACCCCCACCCGAGGGAGATGGAGGGGCCTCGGGGTTTGTCTCGGCGGTGGACGCTTTGGAGGAGTCTGGGGTCCAGGTGGTGAGAGGGGGGGATTCGGTCGGCGCTTTTGAGGCTGAGGCGGCCGCCTGCGATGGTGCGCCGAGCGCCTCGACGGCCTCCTCATCAAGGCCCGCGCCGCCGCCCTCCTCCACCTCCTCCTCCGACTAGGCGTCTGCCTCCCCCCCCTTCCGCGCGACCCCTCGGTCGCTTTGCATTTAGCCCATTTAGTCCTCCTCCTCCTCCTCCTCCTCCTCCCCCTCTTCCCCCTCCTCCTCCCTCAAGCAACTTGGGCTCGAGCACCAACCCCCCCGCCCCCGCGCAGAGTAGGTTCTCAGTCCAGCACTATAGCTCCCCGTGGTGCTTGAGGGGCACCGTTCTTCTGCGATACACCAGTTGTCACAGCGAGACGGTTGGCGAGATAGTGCGAATTGAGGCTACGAGATGACTCGAGGCCAGCAGCAGCAGCAGCAGCAGTGGTCCAGATGTGGCACTTGCGGCGCGTGGGACTGGAACAAGAGCCTCAGGAGTCGACAGTGCCGCTGCATCAAGTGTAGCAAGTGGTTGAGCTCCACCTTGGCGCCACGTTGCACAAGCGTGGACGTGACAACCGCGTTCAGCGAGATCAGCAGCAGCAGCAGCAGTTGCAGTCGCAGCAGCAGCAGACGCAGGCCATCGTGGAGGGACTCATCAGGGGCCTCGCGACCAAGGTTGCCGCGCCTCACTTCGCCCAGGTGACGGAGGCGCTCCAGGCTCAGTCGAACAGCAGGGCTTCCACGGTAGAGGAGGCTGTCAAACGAGCATCTGGCCAGTGGAGAGACGCGAATGCCAAGCATGACCAGGCCGTCGCCGCCGTCGTCTGCTGCGAGGCCAACCTCCTGAGGTGCAAGGAGCGGGAGAAGGAAGCGGCGCTGGTCTTAGCGCAAGTTGAAGTAGCTAGGAAGCAGGCCGCAGTGGCATTCGCGAAGGAGGTCGGCAGCGGCGTCGAGCAGCCAGACGACGTCGCCCTCGACATCATATGGGACGAGTCCCTGTTCACAGGCTTGGAGGAGCTGGAGGGCATCGAGTCAAGCGAACGGGAATATCTCAAGAATGTGCCTCAGGAGCTGCAGGACTTCAAGAAGCACTCGGCGGCAAAAGGCGACGACGTGAAGAATCGCATCGCCAGGGCCAAGGAGCTGCACGATATGATCCACGTGCGCACAGGGAAGAGGCGCAAGACGGAGGCCGAGGGCAAGCAGACCGAGGTTCAGGCGGCCAGCGGCGAGTCCGCCCAGGCGCCTCCAGAGGGTGCTGCAGCCGCAGCGGCCGCGGCCAGCGGAGGCGCGGGCGGCGCAGGCGCCGCGGCAGCCGCCGCGGCAAACGTTGCGGGCGAGGGCCAGGAGAAGGTATTAGACCCCAGCCTCCAGGCCGCTGCCGCCGCCCTCTCGGCCAACAAGATCGCGGCGGCGCAGACGGCCGCCAAGGCCCAGGCCGACGCGCTCAAGGCTGTGACGGCGGGCAAGGGTGCCAAGACGAGCCGTGGCAAGGGCTCAGCCAGCGGCGCCAAGTGAGGAGCGCAGTCGGGGCCTCCATACAGCCAGGAGCTGGACGCCCCGACTTTCGACGACACCAGCTCCAGCGCCACAATTTTGAACCTATTCGACGCGATCTTCCCCAAGATCAGCCTCGAGGAGATCGTCTTTGCAGGACAGTCAGCTACTGTGGCAGAGTGCGCACAGCGCTCGGTTCCAGCATCCACTGCATCAGCGGTGGCTACCAGTTCGGGGCAGCAGGTTACGGGAACCTCAGCCTCGAGTTCGGTGCCAGTGCTGCAAGCAGTATCACATGATTTTCCACATGGCGATGACGAGCCTCAACCAGAAGCGTGCAGCTTGTTTTTTGTCCGCCAGCGTT